GGAACGCAAGTGCATTTTTTGGATGGGATGCAATTTTCTAGAATGCTCTAACGCTGAAGAGTACAACTTACATTGGTAAAGGAGGGAGGGGGCAGGAGGGACTAGTACAAATCGGTGAGACATAGTCCTGCAGTTTATTTTTATAAAGCCAACTACCATGATGTTTTGTAATTTTTGGTCATGATTTCACCATTGTTGGTGAAGCAGATTTTCAATAAATATGTTATCTATATGAAGCTGAGACAACGTGCTACATGGCTTTTCTTTCCGCTGCCAGTCAGAGGGAACAGGCTGGTGAGTAGAGAAAATTTTCTTGTGTCCAAGTCTCCCCCCATATCTTAATCCTTAAAACAAATGTTCACTTACCAGGGAAATGGGGACTTTGACAATCCACGGTAAGGGCTCTCTATTTGTATGTTTGACTGTCTTCAAACAAAGGTAACTGCAGAAAATATATCAACAGCCCTTCTTCCATCAAAAAAGGGGGAGGGGATGAGCTGTAGGGCTCAGCAGTGGGTAAAGCAGCCAGTCCACAGGGACTTGCAGCTTGGGGGCTGAACACCCCAGTAAATGGGAGAAAGGCAGAAAAATGCCAGTGAGGAAGACCCAAAGCCCCCAGGGAAGCACCCTAACAGGGCCTTTGGTTTGTAGCTATCTTCTTGGAGGGAGCCTAGAAAGCTTTGGTGCCTCTGCTCTGGCCGGTGCTAATGAGGAGTCTCACTCCTCTCGTCACAGCGCTAATGAGAGATTACAGCCCCAGTGCAGCCTTGAAACCAGAGTCAACTTGTATCAAAGCGCCATTCCGAATTAAGAGCCTTTCCCAGTGGCTGGTATTTTACAGCCCAGTGGCCAATTTCTAAATCATAGAGGCCAATTATTCCCGGAGCCTTTGGTGTGCAGCTAATGAAGGCCTGGGAGGGCCCTTTTAAATGGTTATAAGCCCTGCAGGCAGCAGAGATGTAATGGAGGTGGCAGGCACAATTAGCCATCCCTAATTCCTCCGAGCAGCTGATTAAAGTCTCTTTATCCGCCTTACTGAGATCAGAAGGGCACATATTTGGGAAATCAAAAATGCATTAGGGGCTGTCAGCTGGGGCTGGGGGCCCCATGCATTGAGCCCACGGACGCTGACATGCGCCGGTCCCAGGGGATCATTTGTGTGGAGCCTCAGCGTGTTCCCCCCTCCCCATAGGGGATGGGCCCCTTGCCCCCAGGTCCCCAGCTTCAGGGCGATGCCCATTCAGCCCTTGGGTGGGCTCGGGGGGCTCCCACGGTGCCTCCCATGGGGGTGGGGACCACCAGAGGGGGACGCGCTCCCTGACCACAGCCCCAGCCCAGTCTCCTGCTGGGCCACTGGGAGATGGAGGGGGGCGAGGGGCGGCCGCTGTTGGGACCACCGAGCACAAGCAGTGCTGGGCTCTCCTCCGCCGGTGCCGTCTTCATCATGCTCAAGTCGGCGCTGGGTGCTGGGCTGCTCAGCTTCCCCTGGGCGTTCAGCAAGGCCGGGGGGGCTGTGCCTGCCATCCTGGTGGAGCTGGTAAGGGGGAATGGGGTGCCCAAACGGGCAGGGATGGGGATGGGGAGGTTGAAGTGGTGGCAGAGCCCCCCCCAGGCATCCCCTGGCTCTGCTCCAGTCTTGGCAGCAGTTTCCCAAAATGGAGCTGAGGCTGTAGTTGAATTGGGGTGGGAGGTGCAGGGGCTTTGCCTTTCATGCAGCATTTGGCACTGGGGCTCCAGGACCCTTCCCAATGCAAGACACCCAGAGCCCATGTCCTGACTGATGCTAAAACCAGCCAGGACACCGGCTGCAAAAATTGCCTATAGCATCCTCTAGACTTTAAGCTTTTAATCTCAACCTAAAGAATAGTTTTGGCTGCTGCTCTCCTGCATGCCCCAAAAACCCAAATCTAAACCCAAAGGCTCGTGTAGAAGTGTTTCTCCCCCTTCCTTTTCCCTGGGGCCACCACAAAGAGGACCTGGTGGGCTGAGCCGGTGTCCCCAGCAGAGGGGACAGGGTGCACCTCGCCGGCTCCTGTCCCCGCAGGGCTCGCTGGTGTTCCTGGTGAGCGGGCTGGCGGTGCTGGGCTACGCGGCGGCGCTCAGCGCCCAGCCCACCTACCAGGGGGTCGTGCGGGCGGTGTGTGGGCCGGCGGCGGGGAAGCTCTGCGAGCTCTGCTTCCTCCTCAACCTCTTCATGATCGCCGTGGCCCTCCTCAGGGTGGTGGGTGACCAGCTGGAGAAACGTGAGTGTCCCCAGTGTGGGGGGTGAGGGGCTGTCTTCCTGTGTTCCCCCCTCCAGGGACGTGAAGCTCCCAGCCTGGTGGGGTGTTATTTTGTTTGTTTTTTTTGGGGGGTACCTCTGACCGCCTGCCACCCACCACACAGTGTGTGACTCCCTGTACCCCGCCGGCACGCTGAGCGGGGGTCCCCCCTGGTACGCGGACCAGCGCTTCACCCTCCCAGCTCTCTGCATCCTCGTCATCTTCCCACTCTCCGTCCCCAGGGAGATCGGCTTCCAGAAGTACTCCAGGTACCCCTGTGGTCACCCCGGGTCAGCCCCAAGGTCTCTCTCTGGGGGAACCAGGCTTGTCCCTGTCACCAGTGTCCCCTTAGGGACTATGGGACCCCCACGTCTGCCCACTCACAGCCCCCACCCCATGTCCTGGCAGCATCCTGGGCACGCTGGCTGCCTGCTACCTCACCCTGGTCATCGTCCTCAAATACCACCTGCAGGAAGGGAGCCTCAACTTGCCCCGGCCTCCCTGGCCCCCCAGGTAAGGCCAGCACCATGTCCCCTGTGGTGGCACATGGGCGGGTGCAGGGGATGAGGTGGGGACAGCCCGGGTGAGGGGTGGCAGCCTCCAGCCCCAAAATCATGTGGTGGAAGGTCCCTGCAGTGGCATCCGTGCTTCACAGGGTCACTGGGGGCCTCATGGCCTTTGCTCTTCCTCTCCCCCTTCCCCTTCTAATGTCGCAGGGCCTCCTCCTGGGCCTCCATGTTCAGCGTCATCCCCACCATCTGCTTCGGCTTCCAGGTACGTCCCCCACGGCCCTGCCTGGAGGCTCTGAGGGGATGGGGCCTGAGATGAGGCCCTGGGGCCATGGTTGTGGGCTCTGGGCTGTCGGAGGAGGGCAGGTGGCCAGCATTGTCCCCCTTGCAGTGCCACGAGGCCTGCGTGGCCATCTACAGCAGCATGCGCAACCAGAGCTTCTCCCACTGGGTCGCAGTCTCTGTGCTGTCCATGCTCATCTGCCTCCTCATCTACTCCCTCACGGGTAACGCCGGAGCCTCCTGTCCCCTCCTTGCCCTGTGGGGTTAGGCAGGGGGGCTCCTCCCCGTCCCTATGCCCTGTCCCCTCCCTGGGGACAGCCTGTTGTCACCTCCCCGCCTGCAGGGCTGTACGGCTACCTCACCTTCGGCGATGCCGTGGCGGCCGACGTCCTCATGTCCTACCCGGGGAACGACCCCGTCGTCGTCGTTGCCCGCCTGCTCTTCGGCGTCTCCATCGTCACCATCTACCCCATCGTGGTGCTGCTGGGCAGGTGAGGGGGCACCACGGCAGCGTCCTTGTCCTGTCCCCTCCCCAAAATCCCATGCCCCCAGTCCCTGAGCCGTCCCTGCCAGCAGGTCAGTGGTGCGGGACCTGTGGGCGCACCCCAAGCGCGGGGCGGCCCCGCTGGCCGACGGCCCCGAGCGGCGGAGCCGGGTGGCGCTGACCATCTCCTGGATGGCCGCCACGCTCGCCATCGCCTTGTTCGTCCCCGACATCGGCAAGGTCATCGAGCTCATCGGCGGCATCAGCGCCTTCTTCATCTTCATCTTCCCAGGCAGGAGGAGGAGGCAGGGAGGGAGGAAGGGGGTGGGTTGTGGGGTTAATTTTGGACCCGTTCCTGCGGGTTTGGTGCCCGTGGTGGTGCTGAGCATCCGCGCTGGTGGCAGGGCTGTGCCTGGTGTGCATGACGGGGAGCCAAAGCATCGGGCCGCGCAAAAAGTGAGTGTGTGAGGGCACCGGGTCCCCGGGGGGTGTGTGGGGTGCCCTGTGAGGTGGGAGGGGGATTTGGGGCATGGTGGGGGCCGCAAGGAACGGGATGCTGTGGGATGAGGGGGGGATGTGGATGGGGGAGTGAGGAGGGATGCAAATAGGTATCGGGAATGTGCCCAGGTCCCATATCCCAGGGAAGTGCCCAGGTCCCATGTCCCGGGGTTGTGCCCAGGCTCTGGGGAGGTGCCCAAGTACCAGGACCCTTCCCAGGTGGGGTGGCCATGAGGGAAGGAAGGAGGCGACCATGGGGCTGTGACCCCAGAGCCTTGGGGTTTGGAGGTGGGGGGACTGGGTGCTGTTGGTTGCTTGGTGTCCATCACTGGGGTGGTGTGTCCCTATTGATTGTTGTGCCTCGCCGGTGTCTGGGATGGTTTGGGGAGGTGCTGGTGACCCCAAGATGGATCAACAGCGTGGTTTGGGGGTGAGTGCCACATCTGGGGGGGCTTGAGGGGACATTGGGGAAGTGAGAATGGGGTGGGGTGATGGGGAATTGGGGACACGGACCCATAGGTAGGAGGGACGGGGGTGGCAGAAGGAGCTGTGGGGCTGTGCCCCAGTGGTGGGGCGGGGGGGATGATGGCAGTAGGGTAGGGGGGACAACGTGCCATGGGGGGGTGGCTTTTTACTGGACACCTTGTGTCATTGCCACAGGGGCTGGAAGGGGTCCCCCAGACCCAGAAGCATCACGGAGGACCCCACAGAGACCCCCCGCCCCCCCGCATGGAGAGGGCTGTGTCCCACCAGGTCCACCCCAAACTCATGTCCCCACAGGGCCGCTCTCGTCACCTGGGGCATCCTCTCGGTGCTGGGGGGCACCTTCGTGTGCGGGCAGAGCGCTGCCCTGGCCGTGATGGGGCTGCTGCACTGAGGGGCCGTCCCTCCACCCCTGTTCTGTGTCCCCCCCCAAAAAGAACCACTCGGTCCCACCACCCCAACCCCGAACACGGCCACACCACCGCTGTCTCCCATCACGATTTTATTCGGTATCGTCTCCATTGCTCTACTGTTAATAAACACTTGGGTGAGGAAGGGACCTGGTGAGGCCCCCCCCCCCCCACACACAGCCCTCCAAACCCCCCTCGGGCAGCCCATGGGGTCGGGCAGGGTGTGCACAGACAGACAGACGGACAGGCACGCATGGACGGACAGACCCCAGGGTTTGGGGAAAGGGGGGCATGACACAGCCACCCCCAAAGCCTGCAGGGCACCTGCTGCCACCCCGATAGGTGAAGGAAACCCCTGGGGACCCCCGCAACCCAAGATTTCCATCCCTGCCACCCCACAGCCCCACTCCCTCTCCTGTAGACCCCATCAGGGCCCTACAGGGATCCCAACACCCATTTTTTGGGGGGGGTCAGCCCCCCCCTCATACCCACCCCATCCTCATCATGCCCCCACCCCCTTGGAGGGGTGCCCCCAGGGATGGGGTAGCCAGGGGTGGGATGCAGGAGGTTTAGGGGTTTTGGGGGGGTCACAGCGGGTTCCTTCAGCGCAGGCAGGTGACACTCACACCTCCCATCCTCCCGGGGCTGTCAGGAGGGGGGGGAAATGGCCAGGCCCTCGGCGCTGTCACTCTCGGCTCAGGGTGCACCAGGCGGCTGCAGGGGAATGTCACTCGATGTCACCCCCCCCGATGGACACCCCAGCCCCGTGACGGGTGCTGGCTGTCCCAAGGGGGCACCCTGAGGGGTGTCCGTGTCGTACCTGGCACGGCCACGCTGGAGATGGCCTCCGGCTGGCTCAGGGTGTCCACCTTGACGTGCTGGAAGCCCTTGCAGGTGGCACTCTGCAGGTGCCTGTGTCCAGGGGAGGGTGGGGGGTGACAGCCCCAAATCACCCTCCTGACCCCAGCCCTCTCCCCGCCAGCCATCCCACACCCCCTCAGCCAGATTTCCCACCCAACCCCGAAAGCATCACCTCCCCACCCCGTCCTACCTCTTCCAGTCCTCCTCAGTCTCCCAAAACTCGTAGACGATGAAGGTGACCCCGTCGGGCAGCTTGACCGCGGTGACACTGGTGGTGGTGGGGAGAGGGGTGAGCCCCTGGGGGGGGCTGCACTGGGGGCACCCCATTGACCCCAATAGGACACCCCCAGCCCTTGTCCTCTGTATAGTGGCCCCAGCAGCCCAGCTCCTGGCACCCAAGCCTCCTGGTGACCCCCCTCCCGCAGCCCTGTCCCCAAATATCCCCCACGGGGCACCCACTGGAAGCAGTCCCTCTCCCCGGCCACGCTCTTCAGATACTGCTTCAGGGAGCTGCAGAACTCGCCCAGGTGCTTGTGCGACACCGTCATCTCGTCCCGCACCAGGAGGAGGTACTGGAGAGGGGAGCAGAGGGCATGTGAGACCCAACATATGCGGTGACACCCCTGTCCCCATGCAGGGACACCCCGGGGATGGTGGTGAGGCCAACACGGCCACACGCTCACCGTGCATGCTGTGCTCTCGCTGTCTGACAGCCGCTGGTGCAGGTCAAACCAGAGGGTCTGGAAAAAAAAAAAAGGAGAAGAGAAAAGGAGGCTGGGGAGCCATGGCCCCCAGAATTCGGGGACTGAGCCACCACCTGCCCTGAGGGCATCAGAAGCTCGGGGCAGCCCCAGCCTGGTGCTGGTGGCATCAGAGACACCAGGAGTGAAAGCCGGCACCCAGGGAGATGTGGCACGATGGAGATCTTGGTGAGGTTTTGGTGCCAGGCTCCATGGTCTTGGTAGCCCCATGTTGGCCCCAAATTGCCCACACCGTGGTTGCTCCCCGGTACCTCACTGCCCCACTCCCCTACTGCCCTGTGAACACTTGACAAACCATGAGGATTTTGGAAACATCTCCAGCACCTCGATAGCTGTCAGTCCCTAAACGGAGTAAGGCTGCCTCTGCAGGAGGCTTTGCCTTCTTTATAGGTTTATTCCTTGCTTAAGTAAGGCTCACGGCATCCCTCACTGCCACCACTGCACTGGGGTAGGTGTGCAGGACCCCTCACCTTGTCCTCCAGCCTGCCGATGAGCGCGGCCAGCCTGCTGATCTGCCCCTCCAGCCCGTCCTCCTTGGGGTCAGAGGGACCTGCGGGGACATTGAAGAAAAAAACACAACAAGGGGCACCTGTGGGAGCCTGGCAGGGAGCTGGGAACTTGCCAGGGTGTCTCTGGGCGGCTGGAGAGGACTGGACAGGTCCCCTGCTTACCGGTCTGGCTGCCCTTCCCGTGGTCCCTGGGCACCATGCGGGCAGGGGGCGCGTAGCTGGGCACGGGGCTGTCATACCAGGGCTCCACCAGCGCGTGGCCAGCCTGGCCGGGGTAGTGCCTGCAGAGAGCAGAGCGTCTCAGAGCTAAGGGCTGCTTCTCCCCACCCTTTTCTTGCCCTTGGTGGGTGGGAGCCACCCCACAGGGTGAAGGTGCTGCAGTGACCCCGGTGGGCAACAAGCGGCCCCGTCAGCAGGTGGGAATTGAGAAGGGGCGGGGGGTCACTGCCTTTTAATCCCAATTTAATAAGGAGTCTGGGGTTTGGATGCTCTGCTCTGATGTTGTTTTACAGCCCTCTATTCTGCTTTTCAGGCCACCTCTTTGTATTAATGCTAATGCAAGAAATCATAGTTTTTGTAGGGTTCTTTTTTTTTTTTTTTCTTGCTATTATCACCATGAGAAAACAGCCACAATACTTTTTCATTATGAGCTGTGCCCACACACCAGCACGTAACAGAGAGGGAAGCCTTTCCTGAGCTCTGCATGAAGCCAGGGCTCGTTTCCTCCTCGGCATTCCCGACGAGCTCCTGCCCTCCCCGTTCTCCCCACGCACTCGCAGGCCGGTGGGAGCCTTCAAAATTGGGGTGAAGGAGCCAATTATGTTGGGGGGGGGGGGAGGGCACCTGGTGGGATGTCACCCCAGCACACAGGGCTTTCTGGTTTTAGATATGGTCAGACGCAGATTTGCTTTGTGAGCATCCGATAGTGTCCCGAAATGGTTTCCGTGGCAACCTGTCCTTGTTCCTGCACGCTGGGGACACGGGTGACACTGTGACACTGCCACGGCTGTGCTGCGGTTTGGGCATTGCTGCGGAGACCCCTGGTGCTGTAGCCCTGGCTGCGCTTCAGAAAATAAAAACCTCAAAGCCATCTACCTCAAAGTCATCTCCTCCACCTTCCGCAGGCTCCCCCCAGTACTGGGATGCAGGGACGGGGACAGGGACAGGGATGGGGACACAACAGCATCCTCCTTCCCCTCCACCCCTCACAGTGGGGTCAGCCCTGAAGCAGACGGTGAGGAGGAAGGCTCTGAAGACCTGGCAGGGTTGGTCTGCTCATCGATGGCATCCACGGCGCTCTCCACCGAGCTGAGCAGCGACTGGGTCTGGTTGGCCGTCTCCTTCAGCAGGAAGCGGGTGACGAACTGGTCCACGTTGCTGCCGCTCTCGTAGACCTGTGGGTGGGGACAGCGTGGTGAGAGACAGTGCCAGGCCCTCGGTCCCGTGGTAATTGCTGATAAATTTACCCAGGTGGGGTAGCAAGGCTAGCTTTACTCCACCCCTACTCCTAATGGGTTTTGACCTCACCTTGGGCAGCCTCAGAGTAGTTTTCAAAGAGGTTTGTCCCCTTCGGGTCAAATGAGCAGGTTGTATTATTGTTGTATTTTTGTGTAGAAGCTCCTGGGGTAGTGCAAACCTCTCTTGAGAGGGGCCATAATTTAAAATAATGCTTTACTAGCAGAACTGATCTGCTTAATGCACTCGGGCCCTCTTCCCTTGCTGTTCCCTTGCCTAAGGCATGTCCGGCTCCTTCCACCTCCCATGAGTGACCAGCACAACCAGACCAGCACTGGCACAACCAGACCCACACAAGCACAACCAGACCAACACCAGCACAACCAGAGCACCACCAACACAACCAGACCGACACCAGTCCAACACCACCCTAACCAATCCCACACCAGTCCAACTGGGCTTACCCCAGCCCAGCTGGTGACACCAGTCCAACACCACCTTGCCCAACACCACCTTGCACTGGTGTGGGACCAGCAAGGACATGCCGTGAGCACATTCACTGAGCATTCAGGCTGGGGAAACAGGGCTGCATTCCCAAATATTCCTGAATATCTGGACGATCTCCCACTGGTTGCACTCTTGATAAGGAGTGGGTATTACACCGATAAATCTCCTCGGTAAAGGCGTATAATTACATTTGGGATCTGAACCCATTTCTTCAGCACTCCCCCCCCTCGCTGCTTGCCTCCCCAGGGCCCCGTGCACCAGAGCCTGCGCAAAACCGAGGCGTAAATACATTAATCAGGTGCTGGAACAGGCTCTGCTGTAATTACAGACAGGTTTTGATTAAGCCCTGGCTCCCACCCCTGCTCTGATTGCTGGTGCCAGGGCATCAGCGGAGCAGCGATGAGCACCGCTGCAGTGTTATCCAGTGTGTTAGATGAGGTTGGGAGGAATCAATGAAATAAATGGGGTGACATGCTGCTGTTTGCCCCATTCACTGAGGCTCTCCAGGACTCCATCACCTGCCTCCTACCAACGTCTGCACACGATTTCTGATCAGCCCAGCCAGATGAGCCTGCTCCTTTCAGAAAATAAAATGTATTTATGAAGAGGCAGGCCATGCATACACTTTTGCTCTCTGCCCTGGGACATCGGGTGAACTTTATTGTCCAGTGTAGAAGTACAAAAGTAATGCTCAGTTCTTATTGGGACATAAATCGCCTTGCTGCAGAGTTTTTATAGGTTTTGCTTGTGGCAGTGTTCATCCTGAAAAGCCTCTCGCTCCTCTCCTATAATTCTGTGAGATGCTGTGTGATGCTGCTGCTCCCCATGGCACAGGCACAAGCAAGAAACAAAGGGGCTTTTGTGGGGCTGGCCATGAGAGCTAGCAGGCTCCTGCTCAGGGTCCCAACTTATTTTTATATTATTTTTTATTTTGACCACTTTCAGGCAGCCCATGGATACAGGCAAGCCATCAGGTTAAAACCGAAGAGCTTGAAAAAGGCGATGCTTGATGCTGATGTAAACGGCTGATTGCAGAGCTATTAAAAACCCCGTGCACTGAAAGCCACTTCAAGATTACTTTCTCGAACTGTGTTTTTGAAAACCTGATATATAATTATAAAGCTCCAGTTACTGCCTGTAAAAAAGCAGCCTAAATAACTGAACAGCAGCCCTCCTTCAGCTGGTGCAGTATTGCCTCCTTCCAGCCGGCCCTGATACAAGGGGTAAAGGGCTCAGAAAGCAGAGCTGGAAGGTCCTGATAAGAGCTCGCACATGGTCATGTGCACAGATCAGCACAAATTCACTTCACCACCATCCTTGTTTCCTCGCCAAAAATCAATCCATCCCCTCCAATAACATCTCAGTGCTTTTCTTTTTTTTTTAAGGTCACCACAAATGCAAGCAGGAGCCTCGGACGGCTTGAGCCCAATTGTTCTGCAACGAAGATAAATGATTTTTTTTTTTCCTCCCTGCTTAACTAAGTGTGGCTGTTTGCCAGCCAGCCCGTGACATTTGCACTCAGGAGCAGCATCAGAAACGTGTGTGCTCAGATGCTCTTCAGCAATCCCCCAGGCCCTGCTGTAGCAAATGTCTCCTTTGGCGTTGCAAAAACAAGTCATTAAGAGGACCAGCTCCAGAGGAATCCTTCCCATGCTCTTATTAAAACATTTGTCAGCCTGTCCTAGGGAGATTTAATGAGGTTTGGTCTTATTAATTCCACCCCAAAGAGATATTTCCTCCTTGTTGTGCTTGAGAAGTTAAAATATTTATGGGGATAATATAATAATTGCTGCTCATTGAAGTCGCTCTGTGACAGCAGACCTTGGAGGGGTGTATCTCGAAAGGCTTCCCTTTTTCATCCAGCTAGTTCATTAGTTCAACACTAGAAAGACTTTGACACCGCAGCTGCTACCCTGCCACAGAGCATTTCACTAGCGAGCCTGGTTTGATCATGCTAATTAACCAAAAAAAAAATATCCTGTGTTTGTATTAGAGGAGCGAATTTAAGAGGCAAAAGACTTCCAGGAGCTCTGCTTCGTGTGATGATGGGTGTGCCACAGGTTTCAGTGTCTCCTGAGACTCACCATTAAAGCACATTTCCTCAGGAGCTTGAAATTCAGGTTAAAGAAAACACTTTCCCACGCTTTGCCTGTGGAAACCGAGGCTGTGCCTGGTGCCAGCACCTAAAAGTGGGCTCTCATCACTGCGCTCCTGTGAGTACCGAAAGACTGAAAAAGGAGATTTTTTGACTCTGATCAGCATCTCGGAGCTTCTCTGCTGGCATTTTTAAAGGTCACTATTCAGCTCGTTAGGACTAGAGGACGTGAGATATAAATGAGGACAGGCCCCCCGCAGCCCCGGCAGTGCCCACTTCCACCCCCTCAACACTTTACGGCTCAGGCATGTGCTGCGGTGTTGCCTTGGAGGGGCTGATTCAAATCCTTTGCTCATAATTGCCTGTTTTCTTCCGAGAGATCTTTCCTTATAATTAGAATAGCACCCAGACCTTCCCCTTGCTCCTTCCCCGCTCTACGCTCTTAAATCCCTCCAGAAGCGGCGGCCCACAACTGATTGCCTGGCACGCAATCAGCAGCCGAAACCTGAGGAGAACAGACACTTAAATATTTGATAAATGAGAGCATTACCATATGAAAGACCCTCAGCCTTCCTGAAACGTCTCGGAAAAAAAAAAAAAAAAAAAACACAAATGAGGCACCTGTTCGGATAAAAAGAAGAACTACGGCACCACATGGATTTTAAAAATCTTTCATTATACATTCCTCCTCTATAAATCCCATCAAATGTTGCTCGGGACTGCTTTCAAACTGCACAAGTTTCTCTCCTCAGCTGCATTTTGGGGCCACCACAGCAGTCTGGGAGGGAAGAGGGCTCCCAGATGGAGGCAGGACCCTCGTGAAGACAGCTCAGGGTCGGCCCTTTCTGACCCATGTTTGCTTTATCTGGTCCCCAAGTCCTCTTGCAGTGCCCTTCCCAGGCAAATTATTGCAGGACTTCCTTCTCATGCTGGAAAATCCTCCTGCATGCAGCATGCCCCCCTCAGTCCATGGGGAATGGAAAACTGGCATTTTTATGCCCTGTCCACTTGGTAGGGAAGGAACAGACTCGGAAAGCAAAATGTGGCCTCCCACTCCTGAACACCCTGACTATAATTAGCGTTTGTCTTCACACAAGTCCCTAATTAGCATTATTTGCTACCCACAAGACAGTCAATTAATATAGGCTTTATTTATTTATTTATTTATTTTCCCAAGGAAAGTGGTGCAGCTTCTGTTTCCCAAGCAGGACGTACTCGCATGGCCCCGCAGATGGAGGGACGAGGGGTGGACGGGCTCCAGCTGCTGAAGGCTCAGCCCAGTTGTGTCAACCCATTCCTGCCAACTTGCCTTTCCCTTCCAAGCTGCTCTCAGCTCCACAATCTCTTCCTTTTAATGCCAGGAGCAACAGCCTTGAGCTGGGAGGGGAGGGAAGGAGAAGACCTGACCCCACAGGAGATCTGCAGGAGCTGGAGAAGAGCACCACGAGCAGGATCTCTGGGGAAGCTGCTCTTCCCTCTCACAGCAAGAGGGGGGGGAAACATGAATTTTGCAGCGACAGACTGGCAGAAGAGCAGTGAATAAACATCTCTGTCTAAAAATAAGCTCCAAGAGAGACCTTCTCAGGCTGTGCCTCCCCGCTGTGCTCCTGGCAGCCCGGCTGGATGTCACGCTCAGCCCCGCGGGGCTGGCGACAAAACTTCTTAGGTTATTCCTGAAAAAATACAGTCGTGTGACTTTTACAGAAATCCACATCAGTTATCGGCCTTGCTATAAAAATTGATATTGAAATCTTTCAGTATTCCTGACCAAAAGTGTTTTACGTGGACAGATGACTTTGGGCTTTTTTTCAGCCCAAACCATTCACCAGATGTCGTTGCCAGGCTGTGTTTTACACAGAACCTAAACCCAGGATTTGGCTAACATACACCAACGGGGAAACCATCCTGTTCACCCCTTGAGACACCACATAGGTGAAACCTCTTCAGAAATGAGGGTGGGAGGGAAAGGATCGTTTTAAGGGGTGTCATCACTGAAAAAAGCAGAGCACGTGACAGCCCCACTCGGTGGTGTAACCCAGCAGGCAGCTGCTCGGCTTTTCCACCTCCTTTCCACCCGTTTATCTCATTACCCTCACCTTTACCACCTGCTACAGAAAGCAATAAGGGTGAGCCACCACAACTGCTGAGCACTGTTTCTTTTCTAGGTATTGAACTCAATTTGTGAGGCAGAAGGAGGCATTAATTGGGGCTGTGAGCCTGCTGGCTTTGGAGATGGGTCTTAGTGCAGGAGGTGAGAAAAGCTTCTCTGTCCTAGGTGGAAGGCTGCTGGAGAGCCTCTGTCTGCCAAAAGACTGGTAGAAATCAGGCAAACGCTACTACTTCTTTAACAAGGAAAATGAAGAAAAACGAAGAATGGAAAGTCACATTTCTCACAGAATTACAATAAATACCACACCGATCAATTGCAGTAATTGGGGCTGGACAGAGAATGCATTGCATTTGAATAAATTAACATAATTTAGTCTAAGTCCTATTGGCCAGTCTATCAACATTGCAATCTGCTGTTGATGAATGTTATCTGCTAGATAAAGCAGAGGTGAGAAATTGCTGTGGGATGGACACCAGGGCAGCAAATACCACGCGGAGGTAGAGAGGAGCGAGCCTGGAAGGCGTCATTCCCCTGGACCACCTAGGTCAATGAGCACATCTCTTTGAGCACTGCTCCTGAACTTACTGACTGCATCCAACACACAGCATTAAAACCTGTCCAAGGAAAAGCTGCCCAAAAGAAGTGGGAAAACACCACTGTGACCTTCAAAGGTGGAAATATCCAGCAGAAGGGCAGCAGGGTTTGGCACAGGATGGCTGCTGTGCTGACACATCCTAAGGCAGAGGCAAGAAGGGTGAAATAATTTAACTCATAAATAATGTATAGGAACCTTTTCACCCACACATATATATATGGACCTGAGGTCCCTATAGCTGCTGGAGCATCATCAGCTGGTACTGCAGCCAGCATGCTCAGAGCAGCTTCAGTTTTCCCTTCGTGATTCACAAATTCTCCCATCTAAATAAGGATTCTTGTGTGAAAAAGGTGTTTGCAGCTCATTCGGGTACAATGCCTGTCCACAAAACACGTGCCACCCTGACAAGAGAGGTGTGTGATGTATCAATGCTTGGCCATATTTCCAGCCCTGGTGCATTAAATCACCCCAGCTCCAGTCCCGTGCCCCATCCCACACCAAACCGCCTCCTCCCTGGTCGCACTGGTTTTCCTATTTACCAACTGCACAATGAAACGTTCACTGGGGGTTATATGAGAACATATCCTACCACCGGCTTTTTTTAGACACAGAAAGTTCATTTCCCTTCTTTCCAATTTAACTGTATTTCGCACAGTCATTGGCAGTCATTTGAAGGCAGCACGGGCAGCGCTGTATTGGAAAATAATTACGATGACAGATTTTGTTTTGCCATACGAGACCTTCCACTACCGAATCTAATTACTGCTGATACTTTATGAGCTCCTCCAGCACAAGATAATTGCTGCTTTTTCTTTTTACGAACAAGAAATAATCAGTTGTCTTTTAAGGTGAGAAATACAAACAGCAATTAAATGCCACGGTTATCCAGCCCCTCCAGAGAGCACAAGGCACCTCTTGTCAGAAAGGCAACACAAAAGGCAGCCAGGTTTCATTTATCGTTTGCAAAGTACTTTTTTTTTTTTTTTTTTTTTTTTTAACAGGGAGAGAGAGGGAGGGAATAAGGACCATTCCCAAAAGATCAGTCATTTTCTTCAGCTAAATAAATGTTTATTTTCATTTGGAGGAGCAGGAGCATGTTGTACCAGCTCCATCCCTCTACAGCACCAACCTGGAGACTGCCTGACAGCACGACAGGGATTTACAGCTGGAATTTGCTGGTCCTCAGGCACTAAGTGCCGAGAAACCACATATCTACAGGAACAAACCTGCACACTGAGCTGCGTGCAGTCACCACCCACACGCAAGCACCTCTTGGGCATGGCTCCAGCAGGCGTCTGCTGCTTGCAGGGGTCAGGCTGCACGCTTGTGAAAGAGTTACCCTGAGAAATTTGCAACTAAAGGGCTTTAGAGGCAGGTGGGGGCTGTTAAAAAGTCCCTACAGTCTTGAATGTTTCTATAAATAAGCCTCCAGAATTAAGGTGATGTATGTAATTAAAGTTGTCAGGATGCACTGATGCTGCCTGAAAGTCTATCCGATCTGAATACTGAAGATGAGTTTCACAACCACCTGAAAGAGTTTATTTTCCTTTTATTTTCCTTTTATTTTTATTTTTATTTTTCTTCAGTTCTTTCTTTGAACAAAGCGCCTGTTTTCTAAGTAATTCATTGATAAACTTTGTACCACTTCGTTCACAAAACCACAGCAGGGACTGATCCTTTCAGTGAAATCCTGATTTGCCAGCTCCTTTTTCTGAAGGGTTCTCGCTTCATTTGCTTCCTTGCCAGAAGCCTGCTGGGCAGTGAGGAACAGCAGAGCTCATGGCTTGATTAACTAAAGGTGATGACGAGGTGTGGGGGCAGCACTCCTCTCCCCTGGCTTTAGACATTGAGAAGTGAGATGTCTGCATCTGAGCGCAGCATCCTTCAGAGCCACAGGAGGAAAACCAAGGAGGAAACCTCCAAGGAGGCTTCACGCCAGCCTCAGAGACCTCCCCATTTCTCTCTCCCAATCTACAAGACCATGATGGGGATGACCAGCTCAGGTTTAGGCAGATAACCTCCAAACATCACAAATTAAGGCAGATGAATCCTGCCACAAGTTACCGAGTCAAGGAGGGAGAAGGATGAATCTTATGAAAGCAGTGGACCGGGATTATGAATAAGGTTCTGCTACAGATCTCTTAAGCAAGTTGATGCACTTATGCTAAGATCCTAATTTATAAAGAGGGGATGAGACATTCTCCTGTTGGAAAAGGCTTGGAAGGATTAGTCATATATATTAAACTCATTCAAAAGTGATGGTGGAAAGCATCATGAATTACTGAGATTTCTATTAGCATGTTAACATGTATTTAAAATACTGTATCAGATCCGACTGCCAGAAAATTTGCTAATAATGAATATAAATGATGCGTGAGCAGAGTTAGTAACTTAATTAGGAAAAAAAAAAAAAAGGTAAAGAACTGTTAAAGCTGTACTCTTTCTTTCTCATGATGTCTGATAAAAATTCACAAACATTTTGGACAGATCAGTGCTTGGTCAAAAACTTTTGCCTTCAGTTTATTATAGAAGTATATTAACAAAATGAAATACGGATCTTCGTTTCCTATTCTGCCCCCCAAATGGATGGATTTCAATAAAGCAAGGAAATCAGATTCTTTACTCTGAATGAGAAACAGCAAATTTCTCTCCCCTCTGGTTATTAACTCCTAAAACTTCTTATCATTACCACATCTTTACAGTGGAGCAATCTGAGTTTTTTTCTTGAGCTTCAGAGATAAATGGAAGGGAGATTTCAATCTGGATTGCTTGGAGGAAGCCTGGAATTGAATCTGGAAGCACTGAAAGATGCTTGGAAAAAGCAAATCCTCATCACTTGGCTCAATTCTCAGTGCTCTGAATTACCACTCATCAGTGAAGAGGAAGGCTGCTTGTCTCTGGTGGTGGCACTAATGAATGATGCAAATATGCTTGGGAGTGGAAGGAGAGGAAGAACTAATGATTCGGAGGCAGCAAAATATCACTGATACATCCCAGTTATTTTATTAAATGATAGGGAAAGCACAGGAAAGTTGTTTCAGAGGAATGGGGGCTCCATAAATACATTTCTCCTCAGTGAAAGACACCAAATTAATGGTTCACTTCTCCGTGAGGATGTTTACCTGGCACAGCAGCTCAGATAAACAAACTTCAATATGCTTCTCCTTGTGTGCTGTTTTCTAGTAGTCCATTATTTACAGTATCATTAAGGTATATGGTGGCTTTTTTTATGAAGCCATGGTGATCAGAGTGTACATGTCATTTTGTCTCTGGTTTTGTGTTTGCATGTACAAGCAGCCCTTGTTCTTTAACCCCTGCTCCTTCAAACATACAGCCTTCTAGTTTCTAATCTAAGTTATTCATATATGAATATACATGAACATTACTTTTATTTGTATATGAATATCTGAACAACCTTATTTCTGGAACTCAGGATGCATCCTAACCCAGAAGGTCTACTTAATAGCAGCTTTATAATCCCTGACACAGCCAAGACCATTTTCCAGGCTTAGGAAGGGTGCTGAGACCATCCAGAGCTCTGCCTCAACGCTTCTCTGCCACCATCTGCTGCATGTGCACTTTGCACGTGGTTTTCACAATCTGGACAAGGCTCTCAAGACTTTTCCCACAGTTAATGCAAAATTTCTGCTGTCATCATGTTGCTGCAATGATCTACTTACCATGGAAATGCAATAGCACGAGGAGACTGCTGAACAGGCTGAAGACATCTGGATTTATTTGCTCTGTTCGTGTAGTACTTGCACTGACTGCTCTGAAACCATGGGGCACGAGGCAGAGTTAGGACTCACCCGCTTGGTGTAGTCCATCGCCTTCAGGATGGAGAGGTTCAGGGTCTCCAGCGAGGCCAAGACATCTTCGTAGTCTCCCATATGATCAGCAAAATAGTCTGGGGAAACCAAGAAGGACACAATGAGGACAGCTGATGTAATAACGTTTCAGGACTGTGTGGCATGGCAGTCCTTATTGGTGGAAGGGGAAATCAAAGACTGATTTCAGGCCAAATATCAGCCAGATTCACCCCAGCTCAGCCTCTAGCTTTACGTCTTCCCCTACATCCCCACCTGTGTGCATCTTAGCCCACAACCACAGGCTGCACGGTGTGTCCCCATGCAGGCAGTGTTTCCACTACGCATTTTAGCCCTGGCGTGGTTTTGTGGGCAAGCTAGGGTGCCAAAACCCAATATTTATGATGGAAATGGTGAGCAGTGCAGCGAGGTGTGCAGTGAGCTGGCAGCGTGGCTGCCGAGTTAACCACTTTTGGTGTGATTGACACAAATACAGCTAAAAGCTGTTCCTTAGAAGCCACCAGAGCTGCTCCTTGGCACCCAGACTGAAGATTCAGGCTGAGGTGACATCTCTCCTGAAGGCAACAAGAAATAAACTGCAGAAAACGATCCCACTAATTAGGTTCTCTTGGCTTAATTAGCAGTGCCTATAGCTATTTACAGCCCTAGAACATATCCGAGGGGAAAGAGATTTTGGCAGAGACAGGAATGTCACAACTTGACTGACAGCAGCTGTTTGCTGTTTCTCTACAAGCCAAACAGCTCATTCTCACTGCAGTGTGTTTATTTTTGTTGTTCCTCTTATTAGTAGTTTACTCGGGGAAAAAAAAATTGATTTTAGAGGCAGAGGAAAACCCTTTCCAAAAGTCCTGAAATAAAAAGCTGGGCCCATACATTTTGGGAGAAACGAGGTTCTGTGGGCAGATCAGGGCTCTTGAGACCACCACCGCTGTGGGAGGAGAAGGGTGTTAACTTTTGCAACCTCCCAATATGCAATTATACAGCTTTAGCTTTTTTTATTGGAACAAACATCTGATGTCAGCTCTTTCCATCTTCTACTTTGCTGCTCATGGCTCCTACCCATCCATGGGCAGCGAGGGGACCCCAGTTCCTCAGCCCACCTCTCTCCAGCAAAGCCCACCAGTAGCCAAGGTGCTTCTCCCCTTCCCAGAGCCCAGTTCAGGTTGCTGGTCAACTTGTTGCACCCAGTATCAGTGTATTTTAAATCGGAGAGTGTCATGTACAGTTTGGTAACTCCATTTGTGTTTTCTAGGCATGTTCAGTTCTGCAAGCTGCCCTGTGACCAAGGAGCTCTGTTGGGGTGAGGAGCTACACGAGATACACAACTCACAACCAACTCCGAGAGCCCACAGCTTCTCTTGTCAACAAAAAGAGGTTTTATACTTAAAATAATTCTTAGAATAATAGTTAGTGAATCAGAAATGGCAGCCAATGACCCCTGAGCAATCCCTCTGGGAAACGACCCCCTTCCAACGGAGGTGTGGGACAAAATGTTATTACAGGTTTTCTTTTTAGTCTTTAATTTGTGAGCCGTGGGAGGTGCACCAGAGATGCTCGATGCATTTGGCAGCCTGCTGTGAAATGCAGAAGTTTGCCTAAGGATAAACACCTTATTGCTGCTATGAAAGGACACTGGTTTATTGAAGTTGGGAGTGGAGCTGGAAGCCGTGACATTGCCAGAAATGAAACCTATCTCGTTATTGAGTTGATCCAGGTGCTGTGCTCAGCTCTGACCCCATTTATGCTGCAAGAAAGCGAAGGGAAGCATTCCCAACTTTCCTGCTGAATAAGGGAGGTGGCAGAGGCTGTGCTGAGTCCCAGTTTCTCCATTATTTGCAACTCTCACACAAAAACATTTTTATTTTTTAAACTTGTGGTCCAGCCTAAGAAGTAGTTTATCCCACTGAGACAGGAGTTAATGCTGCTTTTTATGAGTTTTCAAGCATCCTTCCAAAACACTGTGCCCACGTGAAGGGCTGTACTCACCACACAGCTCCTTGGTGTCCACGTTGCTGGAAGAGGGGAGGATGAGGCAGGGGAGGAAGCAGGAAAAAAGAGAGAGAAGAATTTAAGATACAGGACAGACAAGGGATGCACTCGGGATTTCTTCTGGGTTGAGCATAGAAATGGAGCAACGTAGCCTGGCCCCAGTCTGCTAAACTAAAGCCACCGGTAGCAGACTGGTCCTGCAGTCCCATGTGCTTGGAAAGAAAAATTGCCAATTTTACTTTTCTGAATGATCTATTCTCCTGGTCCTGCCCCTACAGAGCAGCGGCGGGGCAGTGCCCAGCTCCCATCCAGGGCACAGTTACTTAATATCAGAGCATTTAGCTCACTTAATGACATCTCAACAGACAGCCTCCTTGGGAAATAAAGATTAGCTGCAATCTATTTGCGCCTCCGATTCCCACACAATTATTTATGCCACTCAGGCTGCAGAGGTGCCTGGAACGATCTCATAATAGAATTATATTTTATCAATCCATTTACATCCTGGGAAGCTAGCTCTAACTCATCCCTGCTCTGACCTGTCAACATAAGTGGATTATGGAAAGAGATGCTCTAAATCCTGCTCTTGTTAACTACAGCCTCCCAAAATCCTCCTGGAGTGATGTGTCTGGGCTCTTCCTACCCTCTGTGGCCTCAGGCTCACCCCCGCAAACCACATGTCCCAAACTGGAGCACGTTACTGTGAAAAAAAAAATCTATTATTCTATCCCCCACAGTTTTGCATTGCAATAATTATCTCCTGCTTCCAAAAATGGCCTTTTACTTCCTTGCCTCCTGCCATCATATTATTTAACTTAATTGCGCTTCAATGTTAAGTCGGCCAAGATGCTGCTTTTAATTTTAAGCAATCTCGTATTAAGAATAAGCCTAATTAAAGAAATTACTGCAGAGTTTAAAAATATGGTAATGCTTCAATGAAGGAGAAATTAATGGGTGCTTGAGCATGGCCCATGGCATTTCCCAGGGCATTTCCATCCCCCAGCAGCGCACACACCAGGACCATCACAGCCACATCCTGGTTGCTGTTTTGGGGGGTTTATCACCAACATGAGCCCTGCACAGCTCTGCAGATTTACAAGGTGCTCTTGTAGTTTAGTGCTTCAGTATTAATTCCCCCGGCTATGCCACGGGGATGTTTTAGGATGCAAATACTCAGGATCTGGGTTTGAAGCCTGGTGAAACCCCAATAAGCTAAAAAGATAAAAACCACAACAAGTTGTTCTCAGTCTTTACAGAAGAAAAAAATAATAATCTTTCTCAGCTACCAGAACACTTGGCTGGGAATCTGCTTTGAATTTTAAGCCTTCTGACATTAATGGTATGACTAATTAAAGACTTATTGAAGCCATAACCCAACTAAATAAGCCAAATATAATAACGTTCAAGTAGAGCTTCAAATGAAATCATTAAAAACTTCTGTGTCACACAGCTTTTCCCCCACACTGTTGGCCACCTCTATCTGGTTCCTTTCCAAAACAAAAGTCTTCCTTTCTTTGCAACAGAAAAATCAGGAAAACCTAAGTCTGGTTTCAGGCTTTTTCCTTCATTTTCCAACCAGAAAAACTGCAGCCAGGAGCGGAACAGCCTTGCACCCCCAAGCTCAGGGGGATGTCCACCCTTTGAGGTCTCTTTCCAAAGCAAAGCTGTACCTGGGAGAAGCTCCGTGTCCGTGGGACCTAATTTCTCCAATGGAAATCGGAGGCAAACCTGAGAGCTCAGATGCCAGCCTTGAGCATCTCCTGAAAAAAATCCAAGCTGTAAACTAATTTGGCCACAAAAGGGAGTGTTTATTGCTCCCCACACGCCTCCACTTAAACATGCTGTGATAATTTGACCAGATGAATGTACTGGCAGTAAGGAGAGAGTTTTCCCTGCTGCTGTTTCAAAGAAAAGGAAAAGTCCCCAAACTGTGATACTCCTCCCTTCCTCACTTTCAGCTCAGCCAGCAGAAAGATGTGCCAGGCTACCCGAACAGGCAGCACAATCAGAAGCAGAATGGGAAATCATAAGTTGCAAATACATCAAAGTCTAATCTTCCCAGTGCATTTCTCATGCAAATAGCCACAGGGATAGGCTGCTCAAGCTCCTCTCAACACCTGAGCATCTTCTGCTGAAGATAAAAACCCTTTTGCTTGGGCAGATGAAAGGGTTGCATCAGCAGCCACATGGCTTAGCTGCTTCACCGGTACTGACAATGGAGATTTGCTGAAATCACAGCCTGCTTTTATTTCCATCTTCAATTCCCAGCTTTGGGTGTGCTGCAAGGCTTCAAACGAGCGTGGAAACAAATTATCCTCTAGTGTTTGCCACCTGCAAATCCGATTCGCATTTAGGAGAGCCCAAAGAACAACATGTGCAGCAGGAAAGTATTGCTACATCCGATGATACACCTCCTAGTCCCAGCAGCACTGAGCTGTCTCAACACCTCAGAAGTAGAAAAGGTACATCCAGATGTAAGAGGTCACAGATGGCCACCTTTGGCCATGAGTTTCTGAATGCAAAGAAACATATTTACACAAACCCCGAAGAAATTGAAATTATTCCAGGCAGAGCAACAGAAATACCAAATTCTGGATGCCAGCCAAGAGCTAAATGACTTTAATTCCCAGCAACTTTCCAAGCCCATCGTCTGACACTTCTGGAGAACTCTGCTAAATCCTTCCCAAGACCTGTTAAAGCACTCTCTTCACCTGCCCACTCACCTTGAACAACCTAACTCATGCTGAAAACCTCCCCTGCCGAGCAAAGAGGGCTCTCGCTGCCGAAATCCATCTAAAAGCATTGCACGTACCCTGTTTCAGCACCAACAAAGATGCTCCTGGAGGGGACCTTCTGGCACGATGAGGAAGATCAGCCCACCAGCACTTCTCCTCCTCCTGCCCATGGGTGTTGTTGTTGGGGACAGGCACACAGCAAAGTCCCACCTGGTTTGTGGCCACTGAACAGCCAAGGGGGGAGGCTGGACAAGCAGAGCTGCTCACCAGCATCCATAAGTTGGTGAGATATGTTTGGGGCAGTGTTGCCTCAGAGCATTAAAATTTGTGTTATGAAGGCTATTTCAGCTTTGACA